CCTGGGCGTCAGTGTCTCGTATGGACAACGAATAGCTGCCTGGGAAGAGACAAAAAGATTGGGGTCACAAGTCAGACACGACAATGGTTCCGATCACAGAAAAAGGCCGTCCCAAAAGAATGCCAACGGGGAAAATATGAATGCAGGTGTCTCGCAATGTGATTTCCATACCTTTGGAGGTTTCACTTTCCCTGATAAGAAAAGCCCCGGGTTTGTTGGTCGGTGCCAGCAGCTGCCTCTCGGCATCTTTTCTGCTAATGTCCTTGAAAAACCACCTGCAACGGTTGATGATTAAATGTGTGGTTGGCATATGGAGGGCTGATTTTTCTTTTTTTTGTGTGTGTGCCAGATGAATTCAATAAAATAGATTAAAATGCAAAAAGATCATCGAGGGCCGTCCAACTCACGGCCCGAAGGCCAGATCCGGCCCGTCGCGTCCATCTTACGTGGCCCGCGGCAGCAAGTCCCGGGAGTCAACTTGCCAAAATTGGTTCAGAAATGTCAAATTGTCACGTGAAAAAAATAAAAAATAAATAACATTCACATTTTGCGACGCTGTTTACCCTCACTTGAACAGTAACCGAACAAACTATGACAGTTAACGGATTTCAAAACTATCCATCTGTTATTTTGTTGCATCATGAAAGTAATAATGTGATGAGACAATTCAACATTTTTGTGGTTTCACTGTCATAACGGCCCACCGGGGGAAGACGTGACTCCGAAAATGAGTTTGACACCCCTGGTGTAGCGGGTATCCTGTTTAACTCACGGACGAGAACGTCATGTTCTTTGTTTTTTTTGTTTTTTTTTTTTTTTTCCAAATAGTCTTTCCCTAACAATTTGGTAGCTAGTTGTCTTTGTTTCCCAGTGTTTGCTCTTGGGGTACAGTCATGTTTTTGTCGTCGGCTGTCTCCTGAGTGAGCAAGGCGGCACACAGCTGAGAGCGATTGTCAATCAGCTCCCACGTTGGAGGCGCACAGGTGGGAGTGACCTGGTAATCAGTTCCCAGTCTTGTCAGGGAGATGCTGACGCTGGATCCGTCTTGTTAGTTTGTAGCCATTTGCTCTTTGGACCCCGTCTTGCTCTTGGATTTCAAGCTTGTCGGCTTCATCCTACCCCTTTGGTAGCACGTTTTGTTTGCCAGTGTTTGTTCTCTTTATATTTAGCAGTTTTGGCCACTTTCTGTTTTTGAAAGAAAGACTGTGAAATGATCTGTACACGCTGTTACTGTCACGGAGGTTTTTAATTGGAATCTAAAGCACAGGCCCGCTTGCGTGGACTTCAATTCCAGGTGTTGCGGCTATTCCAAATGACGTATTGATGTGAATTGGTTCATCGTTTTCCATGGATGAAGCTGTCCCTAATATTTTGGCACTCTCCTTCAACCAGCTGAGGTAAGCAAACCGTGACAGCTCTCATGACGCAATAACACTCCCCACCCCAGACATCCATCCAGACAGACAGACAGAGAGACTCACTGCTCTGTTTCCATGGTGTCCACTCGGGCCACATAATTGGACGGAATGAAGCCGTGTTTGTCGGATGTCAGCGATTTGGCTCTCCACCACTCGCCGTGTCTGCAAAGCGTATTCACTGTGTCTTACGTGCAATTAGTGGATCCCGCCTCGCGTTCTGAATCAACGTGACTGTTTTTGTACACTTTCAGATATTCAGACACTCACTCCTCAAGAATTGTCATCTTTTCTCCTTTGCTGAATCCAAGGTCATCAGGATGAACGGCTTCATATGGGTAAAGGCCCACCACTATTTGGCCAGTCATGTGTTGCTCTAATGCGGGTGGGGGGGAGAAGAAGAGTTATTTTCATGTTACACCAAGCGAAGGAATAACCTTCGCCTCATTTATTTTGTCAAAAGGTTACTGGAGTTGGGATGGAGCGGAGGGCGTGATTGGCACGTCTGCCACACAGTCAAAAAGGTCTGGCTTTGAATCACAGCTTGGACCTCCCTCTCTGTCATTCCTTTGCATGTTCTGGTGTTGGTTTGATTCCGTTACGCCGACTTCTTTTCACATACACGTCAGGTTAACTCAAGACTCGAAATTGCCCGCAGGTGTCACTGTCAGTGTGACGGGCTGCTGGTGACGTCAGATGGAGCAAGGCGTGCAAATCGGAATTTGGGCAACTTCCCCAGACATTGGAGGACATCCATTTTCCGACCCGCTTTATCCTCACAAGGGTCGCGGGGGGTGCCGGAGCCTATCCCAGCCGTCTTCGGGAAGTAGGCGGGGGACACCCTGAACCGGTTGCCAGCCAATCGCAGAGCACACAGAGACAAACAACCGTCCGCGCCCACACTCACACCTAGGGACAATCTGCCGTGCATGTTTTTGGAATGTGGGAGGAAGCCGGAGTACCCGGAGAAAACCCACGGGGAGAATATGCAAACTCCACACGGGATGGAACCCACGACCTCTGCACTGTGAGGTCGGCGCGCGAAGCACCACGCACCACTACCGGTTTTCACCACTATTTTAAAATGACAACTTGATGCGCCTAAAAGTGAGAATTGAAAAAATACAACATACCCTCTCTCCTTTGAAATACCTGGCCAGGCAACACGCAGTTATTCTGTAACAGCAGGCGTCCATGTTCAGTTGTCTGTCTTAGGTCGTGTTAAATTCATGACCTACCGTCTGCTGACTGATCTTCTCCTTGGCGGGCTCACTCGGCGTGCGGTTTAGTGCGGACTTGATGCAGCCCATCTCGTCTGCTTGGGGACGTGAAAAAGGAAAATTGTGTACAGTACTACAGACCGTTACCATATTTTGTTCTGGTAAAAACAATTGCCCAACCCGCACCCGAAAGAAAGTAGTATTTCCCATCCTCGGTCCGCAGTCCTGCTCGTTTTCGAAGTTTCCCCTCATCTTACATCTCACACCTCTGATTGACATGATCAGCAAGCTCCGTAAAATCTCTATCATTTCAATCGGATATGTTGGAAGAGGGGAAATGTCTAAAACAAGCGGGACTACGGCTCGCTCGGACCGGAGTTGCCCACTCCCACCTGAGACCGTGTCTCTTTATTCGGTCTGGACATTATAAGGACAAAAGGATTGTTCTTGTGGAGGCTCTCAGTCGTACAGGAAAGTTCCATCGTACCCACAGGTACAGATGATGACTGACAGAACCCTTTCTACGACAAAAGGATTGGGAAAGTTGGCCGGAACGCCACAAGAGCCCTGCTTTCAGTGTCGTTGTTTTCATCGGCCTTTAGGGCATCAACGATTGCGCTGGGTGCCCCACAAATTTGGCCTCGAAACCAATGACGTGACATGAAAAAAAATCATCCAAGCATCGCTGCAACTGCTCTGCAGCGAGTCATATGTACATAGAGTACGTCTGCTGGTGATGTTTGCAAAATGAGGTCAGTGCTCCGCATTTCTGGTTTGAAAAAAGTCAAGAGAGGGACTTTGGTCGACCTTCTCTCGGGCCTGTCAAAGAGATTGGCTCCTGATCATAGTTTTCAAATAAAACACCACCGCTTCACTCTCGATTGCGAGCAGTTCATTTGACCCACTGGGGAAATTCGTCAATTTGAAATGACGCTCGGGCTCCAACGGCACAACGGTGGCCCGTGTTGTCACTGGCCCTCAGGTTATATTTTTAACGTGACAGTCGGCAAACAAAACAGGCGGAAACGGTGGCCCCGAACAGATTAGGAGCCTGCGCGCAAGCACAATGAGCCACACAGAACTTCCTCCTGAAACAACGGACTGTGTGAAAACTGAGCGGAGGCAGGAAGAGTCGTCTTCCATTTAGACATAACGTAGAGTTCCGCGCCAAGGTTTAATAAGCTTTTCAAAGAAATAAAAGCGACGCATTTAAAAGGCAAATATCTCATCGGAAAATGCCCCCTGCAGAGAGAGTGAGAGAGAGTTGTTAAGTAATTTAATAGTCTCCTTAAAAATGGAGGACGGAGACATCTTTTCAGGACACCCACCCTAATAATTCACCCCTCTGCGCACAATGACCCTGCTGGTTGTTTGTCCCTCACCCGTCAAACACATTGTCATTACCTCTTGACGTGTGAGCAAGTCGTTAATCCAGTGTGAACACGTTGGCTGGTCCGCAGGTTTGCCGGGCGCTTTTCCACCTTGGCTGGCCCACTCACTCGCTGAACTGCTGCTGGCGTTGATCTCGGCAGCCAGGACAGCCCCAGGATGAGGAACTTCACAGAAACTGGTTGGTGATTTTCTTTTTTTTTTTTTTTTTTCTTCCTCATTGAAACTTCCTGGTGCAATTGTCTAATCATTATTTGCATAAACGGCAACACACACACACACACACACACGGGAACAGCATACAGAAGGCGGCTTTTGGAAGCTCTTAGCGGCCACAAAATTAGCGAGCTTTTGTAATTCTACGAACCGGGTGGTGTCAAAATGACATCTTTGATGGGCACTGTTGGAGAACCATCATTTCTTGATTATTACTCTCGATTTGCACTCATGACCTTTAAGACAATATGGGGTAATATAATTTCTTCTTTGACTTATTCTGCTTATTATTATAAAGGATATTTGCTGGTCGTACTTATGAATAGGTTTTTTTTTTTTTGGAAAGGTTTGGACAGTTGAGTGTTAATCATAAAAATGTTGTGTTTTCATGATTCCTAAAGCAATCACCCACGACTTGATAGAGGGAAAAAAAACAGTATATCAGAAAAAGCAGAAAAAAAATCATGTATAATTTTTTTTTTTAAGTGGGAATGGGAACGATGGAATGCCCTTAAAATCATTTCATTAGTAATCAATATCTGTTACCAAAAGGGGAAATAATTCTCATTATGATGCAGTACAACCAGAATTGTTTTTTTTTTTTGTACAATCTTGTCTCGCCTGTGTGCGGCTGACAGATTTACTTTGTTGAATTCAGTTAACTGCAAGCATCAATTTAGGCTTCCACATCTCGGTTTTAGAGGTCACGTTCAACCTTTTAATGTCGTCTCAAATGTATTGATGGAAAGCAACGCAGTCAAACGCGGATGCCATGGGTCCTTTATTTCACTTGGACTGACACGAGGTGTGCAAAAGAGGTCACGCGCAGCACACGGTTAAGACATTTACCAAAACTCATGCGACCTCACATTCCTACAAGCTGATTTATAAAAAGCTGCGTGTGCACAGTGGCGTCACTGTGGCAGTCGACAAATAACCTGATCGGAGGAGGGCCACACAAACGCATCGAGATTCACACTAACAGGGAAATGGACGTTGCCCGAGAGGACAACCTACAAAAATGAATTAGGCAAGAAAAGACAGACTTTTGCTTAGCGCAATGAAATTGAAGGAAACGGAAGAACTTTGTTCTGCCGGTCCCGCTCAAATTCACTGATTTGTACATGTGACGGTTGTAAATGTCTGCAGAATGAATAAAAGTACAAGGACAGGGTTTTAGTATTTATCACTATCTCATGGTGCACATCAGCTGATGTCAAATAAAAACAAATACGTCGTACAAAAAACTGTAAACCGTGACTAGCGCGCAGGCTAAAATCGCAAATATTTCATGAGTGAAATGTACGCTAAATTCGCTGGACTTGGCTGCATATCTACCTGGCGGACCTGACAATGCAAACTCCCTCTTCGTGTGCGCAGGCGGTGGCCAGGGAGATGGTTCCTTTAAGGTTGGGCGTAATTACAGAAAACAGGTCACAATGGAAGGGCAAGTGCAGTACAGTGCGAAGCATAAAGTCACGCAGCACCACCAAAATGCCAGAAATGGTTCCATCCTGTACAGTAGTGATTCTAAAGGGTGGTCGGAGTAGTTCCACTAGTGGGCAAAATAGTCAGAGTGAACTTGTTAGTGCAAAACATCTGCATTACATTTTTTTTTTCTCACAACAGTTTGATAAATGATCTTCTCTTGGCTTTCTGTTTGGGATGTGATGTGTTTCAGCTGTGATGATTTGGATTTTAAATGTTCCTTCCGCGTGTTCTTCATGGGATGTGAACTTCAGCCCAATTTAGTTTAATCCAAGCGGCCAAGTATCCAAAGACCAGCATTTCTTGACGCGGTTTCCGGTCGCGCTTACAGCCTGTCCCATTTTCTCAACAGCACCGTCAGTTTCAAGGAAGCGCACGCCGTTAACTTGCAATATATTCCCCATCTGCATCGCTACCTCGACACACATGCGAGCTCCACTGGCGACCTGAGCACATCGCAATGGGCTCACAAATTGCTTGCACATGGACAAAAAATCACAGAGGCTCTCTTTTCCATTCACAGCCGTCAGTGTTGCGCTGCACTTAATTCCCTCAGTGAAGACTAAAAATGTGTTTGAGCAACAGCTTCATTTCGTTTCACTTGAACTCAAAAGTACACGCTGCAAGGTCTGCTGTTGTAGTGCAGAGAAGGGGCGGGAGCAAAGTCCAAATTCCAGTTCATTGCCCCCACGCTGGAGTTTTTAGGTTTTTGATCCACTTGCCGCTAACTCGTCTCAAAAGTGTCAGTCATGCAAAGGCATCAGTATTGTGTTAACCCCCGACTACCTGCTGGGCGTGAAGAGCGAGTTTGGACCCGATAAGGCCCGGCGGGACTCAATCCTGCAATGTTCAGTTTGCTGGCGAGCGACCGCGTCAAGTTAGCTGTTCTTCTGCGCCGCTTCTCTTTGGGCCGAGGAGGGTGAACTTTGGGTGTCATCGGTGTCGTTTGCATCTGGGAGCAAGATAAAGTCGATTCTGTTACCATCTCAATGGAAATCATTCAAAGTACGTTCTTTTCAAAACGGTTTCATTTCTAATTTGAACTGCTGTCCAAATTCTGCAGTTTTTGAAAATGTTCGGACTGGACGAGCAGGTCCAAAGCTCTGAATACAATAAATGCTCCGAGCGGAGTTTACCTCCCCCTCCTGCGTTGATGTGCAGCTGGGATAGAGAGAGCGTAAGGGTGAGCTCTCTGCCCTCAGGGTCACTAGGGCTCTGCAGGATGTCGTGGAGGGCGTTCCTACGTCCCGTCCTGCCAGATGCGATGAAGTCGGCGTATGTGACCTCAACATCAGACATCGCGTCATCATCATTCAGACAGCCACACCTACGAGACGAGCAGATGTGCATTGATTCCATACAGAATTAATTTGAATAATTCAATAGATCTTTGCCTCAAATGATTACCAGCATTGTGAGTTTCTTGAGCATACCCGTTTATTATTATTTTTACCACAAAGCATCACTGATACTGCGCCATAAAATCCCAAAAATAGCCCATTGCGGTGCGCTAGTGTAACCTGAAACTTTCAAAGGCAGGAAATGCACCCCAATGTCTGAGCATACATGCAAATCAAGGCACATCAAAAGAACAAGTCTTCAACTTGAGTTAAATTGCCGCGGGTAGGACGCTAAAACGAGTGTCCTTTATGCATGACGGTGGACGCCAAAGGAGAACCACGGTTTTCATCAAATGTGCTTTCATACAAACTGAATTAATAATGCACGTTGGTGACTTTAATGTAGGCTCTGTCGAAAGCGTGAGTTTATCATTTTATTCAATTTGATCACACGCCTCAATGCATCATGACGTCATCTTATTGTGTCCCATGTGCTCGCTTTCACTTACCTTCAGATTCATAACAGCTCAGTTGCACACTACGGAGGTGAATTCGGTGGCTGAAGCGCACCGCAGGCCCGGCATCATGTTCAAAGGGCCATTAACATGCAAAACGTACAATAAAAACACTGTATTGAACGATTCAAGGGAATAAAATGTTTAACTCTGAACTCCGACGACACGTTCGAACAACAACAATGAGAACATATTAATTCCATTAGCTGCAGAAGGGGATGCCTGCAAAGTAGCCAGTCCGCCGTCCTCTTCCTCCTTCCCAGCCAATGAGCTGTCCGTACGCCGAATCTGAGCGCTGATTGGATGACACGCACAAAGGATGAGCGCAGCCTCGGTGCAAAAAAAAAAAGCGATGTTAGGTTCAATTCACCTTGTAAAAAGTCGAATTAAAAACACGGGCAATGCAGTGATTATGACAGAAAACAGAGGAAACTCTAACAAAGGTATGATTATAGTAATAACTTAAAAACAAACCAAAAAATAAAACAAAACCCAATAACAACTTCGTGGGGTGCGTCATATATGATGGTGATATGCAGTACGCCGAGAAACCACAAGATGGTACTGTTGCAACCACGAAAATACCCCTGTAACTGGACAACTGAGAATTGACCGTATCCAAATCAAAAGCTGGAATATCTCTTATACCAAAATGATGTACCAGTGACAAGACTATGCTCCTGAATAGCTATTAACCGAAGAGATACTTCTCTTATCCTCATTCAAAATTCAAGAGTTATCATATGTACAGTAAAAGCTGGCTACTGTATGCAATTCTTTGCTCTGTAATTGTCTGTTACTTTCCTTTCACAAAGAGCTGATGTTACTGTGAAGAAAATAAAATAAATGACTTAATCTCTCAGGAAAATAACATCACACGCCCGAATGACTTAAAAGTGCAGTCTCGTATGTGTACTATCCATAACAGCTGCTAATGCACAAATCTGTGCAAATTGTGTTTTGCAGAATATTGGCAATATACAATGTAAGGTTTGATCCATTTTGACCTTCAAACAGCCACGTTTCCATCGCCCACAATGAACGGAATGCACATCTTCGAGTGTGTTGCTGTGGAAACGCCTTTCTGTCATTGTGCCTGTGGCTTGTATCAGCGGGATACATTTGGGAGACTTTGAAAGGAAATAGGAAGACTGTTTTCTGTTGGAGTCAACCTGCTCAAGCGCTTCCTCCTGCGACCCTCCCCACCCCAAAGTATTCCTTAGTTGGCCAGCCCTCGTGGTCAGACAGATGCTGCACCCCCCTGGGGGATGCTTATGCTGCTTGGGACTTAACCACCCCCGAGTTCACTGGCACGCCGTGGGGAATCGCTGGCAGTCGCGCACACTCCTCAGCTGTTTACTGTGAGAACCGCCCGTCTCGTCCCTCCTTGGAGCTCTCCGTGGTGCTGAAACACATTCGGCGAGCAGCAGATCTTTTTCATCCAGTATACTGACGCGGTCACAATCAATCGTGCAACCACTTGGCGACATAAAATTGAGTAAATCAAAGGTTTTTTTTTTTTCAGTGTATATCGTGCTGTTTTATGGCCAAGCATTGGATGACACACCATTTTAACAGCAAGAATGACAATATTGCAAATAAATAATCAATATATTGAAAGAAATCCCCAATATGTCACATTGTTTACAACAAAGTGAAAGAACCGGCGAGAAAAAAAAGGACTTGATATGTGAATGTAAGTGCCTTATGATTGACAGACAATCAGGCCAGAATGTACCCAGCCAGTGTATGAGCTATTACACCTTAAAGTTGCTTCAAAGTAGAACCACGTGTCTTGCAGATGGAATCTGAGCTGCTCCACTGGTGCAAGCAAGTGTTTTGCTTAAGGGTAACTTCAATTTTTAGATGAGCTCAGGTGAAAGTTTAATGCTCCCTGCTGAGATGCGAGGTCGTTTGGCAGCAACGGATGTGCAGAAGAGCTCAAAATGAGTCCTTTGCAAGGGGACTCTTCAATGACTCCACATTCTAAGGCAAAGATGGCCAGTAAAAGTGATTCAGGGATGTCGAAGAGATCATACAAAATTGCAGTGACACGACCATATTTCCTCTGGCAATAAGAGCTTGGCGATGCAGTTAGGGCCAGGCAAGAGTGCACAGAATCAGAACACCCAAAGAGGTTTTCTTGTGCACCCAAGCAAACGGTGTACACGAGAACAATGCGGTGCGAGTTTTTGCCTGACGCTTATGCGATGAGTGTGGCATTTGGAAATGGATTACACATGACTGAACAAAGAAAGGTTCGACGCAGATGAAAACACAGGGGGTGGGGGGGAATACTATACATTGGGCCACAGGTAGAGCAGAGTCTATATACAGGGCCGAACAGAATTAGTGAAAATTTCCAATTATCTTTTGTCTTCTACATTCCTGAAATAAAGTGTCCTCACTTGGCCCGGGCGTATATCTGTTTCGTTTTTGAACACACTAGTGCAAAGTAAATCCAGTCCCAGGTCCATATGTTCATATGTATTCGTCAATGGGCATTAAGTTGGATAATCATGATATTGAATACATGTGCAAACGGCCGCTCTCCATACCAGTGCGCATGCGCCAGCATCCCAAACGCGAAGCTGCGCCGCTGCATGGCACCGTTCAACATCCAGACGCTGTATTCCTTTCGTCGCCGGTGGGTGTCGCTGTTATCACCGTTACCGAAACTGTCTGTCAGTCTGTCTGGCGGGGATGAAGGGACGCTGTTTTGTGGAACGCACGCACACGCACGCACACACTCACAACCGTACGCATACGCGCGCACGATAGAGAGAACGCGAAAGAGAGAGACAAGTGAGCGCCTTCGCGCCTGTGCGCAGTCCTCCGGCCCGGCCGCTCCTTCCTTCCTTCCTCCCTCCTCTCCCTCACTTCCTCCCCACCGCTGGCTCGCTCCCTTTCGGATGCTGGGAGCCTTCATCTTTCACACTCCGCGCTGGGCCAAAATACTTCCGAGGCCGGATCGACCGACAGCCCGTTTTGCCTGGTTTGAATTTCGGATTCCCACACCAGAAAGAAGGAAAGTCGAGAAGGGAAAAAGAGGCTCTCCATCCCCCGAGGGAATTTATTTTACAGTAAGCAAGCGCAATGTCATTCCAATTTCACTGTTCCCCATTTCCTCATCTCCCGAATTCCACACGCGCGCAAAAAAAAAAAAAAAAAAAAAAGCCGAAAAACATAGGAACGTGACCGCCAGCTCGGAAGCCGTGTTTTGAACGAGAAGCGTGCTTTTGTCCGCCAGATGTTGTCGTCATTTGCCCACGGTCGTATTCACGTGGATTCGGGTCTGACAACGCGTTTTCTGGGCTGTGGCGCGCTCGCATCGATCGTGGGCAGAAAATGGAAACCCCCTTTTCAGCTAGACGTACTCGCCATCAATCCGTTCATCCCTCCCTCCCTCCCTCCCTCCCTCCATGCATGCATCCGGGTTCTAATGCGAAATCTAAATTACTTTCAGATTGACCTAAATTTGAGCGATATTGTAAGATTGTAATGCGTGACAGCGGTTTGCCCTGCCCACGCCCGCAGGCGTTGCGTTGCCTTTTCCAACGCGATGTGGAGACACGGTGGAAGTCAAGTGTCGTCGTGCGGTTGAGCCATGAGCCTTGCGAGGGGGATGCAAACGCACCTCACAGCCAGCGTGCGGCTCCAGCCGGGGCCTGCCTCCCTTCCCGTCCGCGGGTACAACACCACTGTGCGTTTAACAGCACCTCGGGCCGTTTCTCGGCCCCGCTGCGGAGTCATTCATCCATTCATTCCCCAGATGACTGTGTTTCCGAGGGAGCTGTTGCGTGTTGCTCACGTTTATTGTAGTGGACTTGTTCTCTGGGACGCGTGGCAGAAATATGGATCTGTTTTTGTTCCAAGAGAAATCCACCGTATTGGACTGTGCTGATTATACATCAGCAGGCACGGGTGTCAAATTTAGGCATTGGGGCCCAGATCTGGCACGCCACATGATTTTAAGTGGCCCGCTGTTTCTGGCCAAAATTCCATAATTGCAAATTGTCTTCAATTTTAATGATGTTGGGATATTCGAAACATTTTTTGCTGGGGGGAGGGGCACCAAAACACTCCTCAAAATGAATAGAACCATGGGAAGTATTTTCCTTGACTTGCCCCTCTGAGGAAAACAATGTGGCCGATGACAAACATAAGTTTGACAACATTGCATCAGGGGGAAAGTGGAAACAGCAGATGGTGTGTATTATTATATAAATGTGTATAAAGAACATTGTCTTATCATCCTTGTTGAGCTGCATCGAAGACAATTTTAGGTGTCTGTGGCTGCGTGAGTGCATCTCTCTCGGTGTTTTTCTGCTGTTTTGGGCAGGACAGCATCCTGCTCCTTGTTGCCTTGGAAACCTCGAATTGAACACGGCATGGCAATGTCTCTGCTTGTTCTGTCTTGTCCATTTTCGTTGTTATTGTGTTTTGCAATGTTGTGTTTGTTCGCAATCAAGCCAAAGCTGTTTCTTAAAGCGGGGGGGAACATTTTTATTGCCAGGACATTGCATTCCAAGATACATTGGCAACAAGTTGTCACCACCGTGTTGTAGTTCCTTCTTTTGTCTCATGCTGGAGCACCGGCATGAACCACTCCTCACCTGGAAGATTCATCTGTTGTGCAAGAGAGCACCCAACGGCTTTCTGTTGAGTGAGGCCTGCGAGCAACTTGTGCTGGAACTCTTTATGTTTTTTTTTTTTTACTGTAGCAGGAGTAAACTGGCTCTTAGCAGGACAGAGATTTCCGTTCTGTTCTTTTGCATGTTGTCTGTGAATGTTCGCCAAAAACCACCGCTTGCCCCAATGGGGTCGGACAAATCGACACAAACACAGCGGCGGACGTCGACTTGGCGCTACTGTAAGTTTCCCTGCGGTTTGATCGCAGACGACACATCATCCTGAAACTGGAACAGGTGACTCAAAATTGACTGAAGTCCAGCTGGATGAGCTTACGCATACTTTTCTAACGTATGTGATATCGCGTCACTTCAAAATGTACAACATTCGCAGCGTCCCAAAAGTCCAACCCTTGCAAGGATATTTTCAGACGACATCTCCGTCCATGAAACTTGAACACGAGGAACTCGGGGTCCCTGTTGATGGACTGTGCTCTCCATAGCAACATGCGTGCGGGTGACAGACTGACACCCATCACTTCCTCTCCACGCACTCGCCACTCGTGTGCCGGGCTGGTTGACTAATGGATGATGGGAAATAACAGCTGCACTTTGCCTCCTTGCCTGAAGCCCTGAGCGCTTGCCTGTCCTCTCCGCATCCCTTCAAGGGAACAGAAGCGAAAAGGAGCTTTAAAGAGGCGACCAGATTGTTTGCTTCACACGTCAACATGTCACTTGCGATAAGAGTGTTCGCCAGGAGGAAATTGTCCTTTGCCTCTCAAATAGCCGTGTACTTATGTCGATCCGGGTCACTGTGTAGATGCAGCCCATTTTGGTTGTGACGGGCAATCGACTTCGTGATTGACCAAAAGAACAGGGAACAAACAATGCAGCTTTGAGGACCGATAGGATGTGGTCATAGCAACGCGTGATGAAGGTGTTGCCGCATCTTGCATCCCTTGGGCAAGCCGAGTGCAGGCCAAGGCTAACATCGTTGTTTGGATGAGTCATCCTCCCGGTGAAGGGCTAAGACCATTCATTATTTGCTAGCACCTCGGTCCTCAATCATCCCTCCCCCTGTTTACACGTTAGCTCCTGATCTCCCACCAGAGATTCCACTGAGGAGTCGGAGAGAGAGGAAAGGGGGAGAAGAATTGGAGTCATCAGATGTTCTTTCCTCCGGAGACGCCCATCCCGTACGATGTGAGTCGCACATCAATTCTCTTTCGGGTTGTCTTCTTGCCATTGCATCGCACGCTATGTCTTTGCTGGTGGATGTGAAATGACGCCATCTCATGACTAAAGCATCGTAACAGATATAAAGCCGACCGTGACTGGGTTTTCTCCTGAGATTGACTTGTGGGTGGCGGACGTAGTAGCGAGGAACTGCAGGTGTGGAGGGTTACACGGGAAACATGGGATGCACACCTTGTGGATATTTTCGTTACCGACGGAGACTAATCCTCCGATAACTTCCCTTTCACTTGAATGACTGAACCAATGGGTCCCCTTCGGAGTTGCCAAGTTGTGGTCGACATGGCAACAGGTTGATGTGATGTCGGCCAGGTGCGGTCTGGCGGTTTGGGCTTGAACGAGGCCAGCCCCGGTGAAGGACTTGTTGGGCGCAAGAAGGGCGCTGTTATGACCATTTTGTTCCGATGTCCTGAGGAGCTCCGAGGGCCAGCCAGTGCAGAAGTGAAAAAGTGGCTGCATGCACATTGGACCTGCATTGATTGATGATTTGTGGGTGGAATTTGACAGGGCCGTCGTACCGAGAAGAATTTTTGCAGCCAAGCAGGTGACAGAAATGACCTGTCGGGAAGCAACGCCTGCTTATTTCTTGGATGAGTTCTTGAATGGAAGCATTTTTAATCTCGAAAAGACATTTGTCTGCGCCGACCCTCTTTTCGAAGTCCCGACCCTTTGCAAGCACGTGTACGTGCGCACGGCGGAGGAAGTGGCTTTTGGCCAGCGTCGCACGGCATTGTCCGGGTTTAAAGCCTCTTCATTCACATTACTAGCAGTGAACCAGCAGCCCGGCAGCCACTAATCTGCTCATTGTTTTCAAGGTTTGCTCAGCATTCTCGTGCCCCATTCAGCCGTGCGGCATATTGCGCTTGGCAGCCGAGCTGCTTTGCTGTGCGCATTTGTCACTTTGCATTTGCAAGGTTTGTCCTAAGTTGTGGGCGGTAAAATGAAAGGCGTGTTGAAACTTCTTGAGCCATTTTCAAAATGGCTTAAGAAGTTTTTGTAACCCTTTAATGCTTGTCTTATGATGTATGGCAAGAATATTGTTTGCTTTGGCACATTGCCATTTTTTTTTCTTGACACCCAAGATACAAACAGAAAAATAGAAGCGTACACCACATAAATGACAGTCACCCAATCCATCCTTGAAATGAATCGTCCCAATTTCATTTCATTTCATTTTTTTCATTGACAGTAATATTCTTTGAAATGCACACGGAGAAACGGAAACAAAATGATTTCAAAGAAAAATAAAAACTTATTTGATCTCCGTTTGCTCCGTTCCCGTTGTAACGTAATCAACAGACGAGGAGGACTGTGTGCAGCACCAACCTCACTCAAGCGTTTGTAGGAATAAAATAATAAATTATAAAATCAATCACCTCACGTGATGAAACACTTTTGCACGTCACGCTACACCTTTTGTGTGTCGATTCATTTTTAGAAAATCCCCCCCACCCCACCAATTTTATTTTCTTTTTTTTAAGGTTTGTAGACTGCCGAAAGCGATCGTTCGTTTGATACCGGCGAGGCGAGCTTTTCCAGCCTTTTCACTCAAAAGCTGGCCTTTAGCTACGGCTTGACAGGCCGCACCATCGAGAGAGAAGCTCGGACGACGGAAAGCGCAGCGAGGAGAGTCTCTGCGGTAAACGCTCCTCAACAGTGACCGCTGGAATCACTGACACATGAAATATGAGAGACAGCGCCACTTTTCCCTATTTATAGCATTCGAGACCGAGAGTAGCCACATCGCAAACACTTCACATTGGCCTCGTGGCATCATTTTTTCATTTCCTTAAGAGCGATTGCGGCCCATTTTAAATACGCGCACACGATGTGGAACAAAAGTGACATCCGACATTTGGGCCACTTTCACCGTGAGCGAGCACAGCCTGAGTAAAGCTTTCCCATCCGCTGAACCATACACTCATATTTTTACCTTGACACACAAACTTGGGTTGTTGCTTGTTTTCAAACCCTCCCGAGGAACATGAGTGACTAAACTACAGAATTTAGTCTGCACTACCTTGTGAGCGCCGGGCTTGTTGTCATTTCATTATTCGGCATGTCTTCACTTGTGCCGTGTCCAAGTCTGCGCCAGTCATCTGCTGCTGTTCTCATGCTAAACTTGGACTTTTGCCACGGTCTGAAGCCAACGCAAAGGCTATTTGGCTTTCTTTGAGGCTGCCTTCCCCCCCGAGCAC